CCTGAAGAGTTTCCCGTCTCTGAAACACATAAGGTAGTCCCACCCTGCCCTGAAGGGTCTTTATAACTTGCAGTCAAGTTTTGAGTGGCCCCTGGTGGCTCATTTTCCAAGTACGGTCTTTTGATACCAAAAGTCCACACTGTCCAGAACAAACCAAGGCATGTCACCTTGCTGGTGAAGGGCCACCTTGTTCACTCTCTGGCTCCTGATTCTTCTTCTGTGATGATGTTCTAAAAGGTTCACTGGATCTAAAAGGATCACTGTTCTGAAAGGATCTTGGGTCCAGAGGATGTATCCACTCTTAGCTCTTGCTGTTAACGAAGTCCCCCTTCCTGCTTCCCAAAGGCTCATTTTATACACAGCAGGATGGCATTCCAGGGAATCCTGTTAGCATTTACTCAGGTAAATCCTATCCGTATCTTCGCCCACCTTCTTACCTGACCCATGCAGGGGTAGGTTATTTGGTGGGCATTAGAAACTTCTGCTAGAAGAGCCACAAATAATTCACCGCGGCTGCAGTGAGAAGACATTTAGGGGATGGAAACCCCTTGATAAAAGGCCAGGAATCATTCCTGCTGATAAATAGTTGAGAAGCATGAAAGATGTCGACTGGGTTTGGATGAGGTCTACATAGGATACGTCACAATGGGACCTTTGGTGCATGAAGGAGAGGTTCCCATAGCTGATGTCAGGGGGACATGGCCTGGCAGGCAGCCACAGCACCACCCTACCTTTCACAGGACATGAATTTTAACAAAGGTTCTGGGTGTTGGTTGTGACAGTCCCCACGTTCTAAGGTGAGGACAGTGTCCAAGCAATATGCAGCCCAGTACCAGCAGGTCAAGTGGTCCAATGGGCTGTGTACTGAGAGCTCAGTGAGTTGTGATGTCTGACGGCCTTCCCTGCTGGTCAGCTTCGCTCAGACCTGTGGCTCCAGGGCCGTCCCACAGGTGTCTTGGTACCCCAGCTGGGGGACACCAGCTTGGAGCCACTCCTTGGAGAGCCTGAGAGGGCCTGTGAGTTGGCAGAGTCAGGACTTGCCCTGCACAAGGCATTCAGAACAAGAGGGTCCCTCGAGCCCCTGGTTCAGTTCAACCTGGTGGTCAGTCCCAGTGGCAGAGCCTTCCCCCTGTAGCAGTGGAGTTATGGGGCACCAGCCCAGGCCAGGGACCCTGACCCTCAGGAGCATGTTTAGATAGTGTTTCCTGCATGTTATGACCTCGGGTTGGTGGTGACAGTCTTCTGAACGCTCCTGGTGCAACACAGCTCAAGCACAGGCACTGGGCCTGGCCCAGGGTGGGCAGCAGTGAGGCCCAGACCGGGGACCCACACTCAGATGGATAAGGACTGAGGAGCCCCCTTCTGAGCTACCCCAGAGCCTGCCTCTGGTGCCCTGAGGAGACACCTCCTGCAAGCTGACCTGAGGCATGCTGGGAAGCTCTGAGGAGAGGACTCAGAAGGCTGGCCCTGTGGGGCAGGGAGAACTGGCAGTGCCCGAGCGCCCTCCGCCCCCAGGCTCTGCATTAGCCTCTCTAGGCCCGTCTGAGCACCAGCCTGCCATCAAGTGAG